CACATTTTCTTCAAATTAATGTATATGTATGAAAGGATTTGGTAATTCAATTGTTTATACAGTTTCATGATTATATCACATTATCACCTGGTATTCATAGGTAACCCAGCAATTATTTCTAATCAGTTACATAATTGGAATGTATATATTTCTACTAATAGCTATTTGCCTAAAAGTTGGATCTTGTTCCTTACAACAATTGCTGTTTGAGGCTGGCATTCTCTTTCTTGACTTGATTAAGATCAACTTTGAGTTGTTCCAAATTTTCTTCAACCTTCTTGCTTTTTTCAAGATCAACCTGCAATGGACAGAAATTAATAAAGGTTCACAATATCACAACAAGGATCTAGCACATAGATAGAAGCATGTACAAAAATGAAAAAGCTGATGCTAACACTATTTGTCCAATGGTAAATACATTCCACTGACGTACCTGTTCCTTCAGTTCAGAGATTTCTCTCTGGACAGTTCCCGTCTCACGTACAATGTCAACCAGTTCTCCACATCCTTCGTGTACTGCTGCCACAGCACGATACACTTGGCGGACTCGCTCATTATTACCTGCCTCCTGTGGGTCCAAAACACGTGATCAGTGTTGCACATATCTAGTATGAAGACATCACCAAAATAGTATTGTTCATGAATAACTATTTTCTGTACACAAAGACAAGGAAAAAGAGTAAATATATATAGAGTAACACCCTTGGGTAGAAGAATTACTGTTCCCAAAACTATTACTGAATAAAACAGGTAAAATGAAACATTTATAAAAAAAAACAAAAATGTCAAGAAGTATATTCTTTATAACTCAACCTGGACCTGAACTTCACTGTGACACAAGGAAAACACATTTTCTCAGGCATACTGTACCATTCCTCCTTCCCTTGACTGGGAAATACTCCATAATCATGGTCAGTATTTTTGTACTCTTATCTTAAGAAATTTAATACAACCTAATAATACTAATACAAAATCTTTACTTTAAGAAACTTAATACAACCTAATAATACTAATACAAAATCTTTACTTTAAGAAAATACAGCCTAATAATACTAATACTTTACTAAGAGAAAAGTATAATAAATAATACTGTATACATTAACAGATATATATTATAAATTAACAGGTTGAACCCTAATGAACTAATAGAAAAGATTATGGAAATGAAAGCCATTTTTCACCTTGTATGCAGTTCCCTCGACCACTGTAAAGGTTCGCTCTAGCTTGCCAGAGAGGGTGTTAATCTCCTTCTGTATAGTCCTTGTGTCCACGAGCACTCGATCAATTTCTTGCTTCTGTTTGCGGACTTTGGCACTGATGTCGATTATTCTCTTGGTGTAAACAGCTCTTAGAACAGAGAAAGCAAAATGTAATGAATATGGGAAATAAACATTTAATAAACACACTGCATTTATTTTCCTCCTATGGAATATTCATATGCTATTTGACTAATTATAAATATTTCATCCCTGTTCTGGAATATAGATAATTTTTAAAACCTATTTCAAATGCATATATATATATATATATATATATATATATATATATATATATATATATATATATACATATATATATATATATATATATATATATATATATATATATACACACACACATACATATATACATATACATATACATATACATATACACATACATATACATACCACACCACACACACACACACACACACACACACACCACACACACACACACACACACACACACACACACACACACACACACACACACACACACTCACACCACACCACACACAGTACATCAATAAAATAATTTGCTCAGCATATTTACTAATTTATATCAAACTGGCCAAAAGAAAAAAGAAAAACCTTAATAACCTGTTTATATCTTTATTCATGCTTGCAAACTGGTTCTTCAGCTGTGCAAGCGCAGACTCTTTCCTTGAAGCATCTTGCACCATTGCCTTCATCTTGTCTCGCAATTCTGTCATCTCACCCAAAATCTCTTCTTTGGTTACCTGAAAGAAATAATTTGTTGATTGATTTAGTTCTTTTCTTTGAAACATAATTATGGTTTACAGTAATAATAATAATATATCACATATATTCACACAAGAAACACCTAAATTCAGGCACCCTTATATGAGGGATTTCAGATGTAACATACATCCAATAGGGACATCTAACCCTAAGATATGTCTTTGTGGTAAACAAACTCCCCTACCTTTGTCTTTGTGTTTTTGTCATGTTACGGAAAAATAGAAAGAAAGAAAGAGGATACACTCTATTTTGTCCCTCCTAATTTACATTCAACTTCTGGTAGCCTATCATCTTTTTATCTAGAAATTAAATACAATTTCTTTAGGGAAAAGACTATATAAAAGCATTCATCTACATCTATATTTAAATCTATATACTTATCTCTCTCTCTCTCTCTCTCTGTATCTACCTCTATATATATCTCTCTCTCTGTATCTCTCTCTCTATATCTCTCTATCTTCCTCTCTCTATCCCTATTTCTCCCTGTCTCTTAATCATTCTATTACTCTGCCTATCAATCCATCTATCTCTGTATACAAAAGTATAATACAGCATCCACACCTTTTTCTTATTCACTTCAAGATTAAGTTGCGACAGCTGTTCTTCCAGTGGCTGCTTATGAGCCTCCCACTGCTGCTTCAGACGTGCCATTTTGTCTTCACTATTCTTCAGGGCTTCCTGTCACATAAAAACATAACATTTATTTTGCAGTCACATTGGGACTTGTCAGATTAAGTGGGTATGGGCTCCATGTTTTCACTGTTATCGTATGTGTTAAGAAGATAAAGAAATAATTTTACAATCTAATGATCAAGGCAATGTATAAAAAGTTAGAGTTGAGGTAAAAATTTATATAGCTTCAATATTATAAATGCACTTTGGGGAAACATGGAATGTATTCAAGTAATATAAAAGTAAGCTTTGAAAATGGTTTAATCATTTTCTTTATCATCAAAATATGGAAAACTGAATATCTACCATAATAAAAAAAAAAAAAAAATGTACTATGAACAAAAATAATAAACTGCAATAAGAAGTAACATTAATACTTTGAGTCACTTTTAGATATCTATAGTGAAAACTAAATTTAGCACAAAAAGTAAAGAGAACCATGGTTTTGAGCAGCAGAAAATTTACATCTTCATAGAAAAAGTTAAGAAATAATTATAAAAACATAAAAAAAATTCTCACCTTAGAGCAATTGCACCTCTAAAAGAATGTTATACAAAATTATTACTACAGCATTAGTCAAAACATACCTTTAGCCTCTTAATATTAGATTCTGATTCTGGCACAAGATTCGCTATTCTCTTTTTCATCTTGTGCTCTCCAACCTTCTCTTCCTGCAAACGTTCTTCCTCGGCAAGCTTATCAACAAGCTGTAAAATTCAGACAGTATATATCAATAATGGTACATATTTGCCTTTACAGTTATCATGATATTCTAATTCCTTTTTTAAAGATAATATATTAAAGTTATATACCTTAAAAAATAACACTTCACACTTCCAAAACATTTCCTTAGAACACCCTGCCAAAATAAACACAAACCACAAAAACAAACATACAGACATCAACAACATCACGAGATTCTACATTACCTCTTTCAGCTGATCACTGGCCTTTTCCATGCCTTGTGTAGACAGCTCAATCTTGTCTCTAATACCTGCTATTTCAGACTGCAAGTTCGACACTTGTTCCTCTCTCTTCTGGAGCAACTTTTCCTCGGAGGTAGCGGCTGTGGTCCCTGAGTTCTCATTCATGCCTTCTTCATTTATCTAATAAGAAATAAATATTGATATCAAATCCTCAGAAAATTATGATCGAAATGGAAACTATTGTTTCCTTCTTTTTTTTTGTCTTTAAAATATATTATTTATAATCCTAACTCCTTCTATCTCTGTGCAATTATCAATGTAAAGAAATGGAACCTGAACCTGATAACATGAAAACCATACTAAAATGAAAACAAAGAACGCAACCTAAAAACTTCTTCAACTGGGGCTTCAAAAAATCCCCAAATGTAAATCTCTAAAAGGTACCTACTTTTACATCAATCATTTGCTTGGATGTCTCAAAGGATGACAGTGTTGTACTCTGCATCCCCATGATATCTGTAGAATCTGGAACATTTTCTTTGTCCTCGTACAATGGTTTTAGCTGTATTTCCCCATTTTCCTGAAAGAGCAGACCATTTACAGTAGTAGAAAAAGATACAGACAATGTAATTGAATACAAACCACAAAACTTCATGAAATTATATTTAAATAAAACATTTATAAAATAAGCAAATAACCATTTTCAATCTGAAATCCCAAGCTGACAGAGTGCCAAAAAATGCACAGCTGCTATTCAAGGTACCCTCAAGAAGCATTATGAAAAACTTAATCACAATATTGTACCCAATGCAGAATTAGAAAACATATTTGTTACAGATGCAAAACCATCACAACTTCAATGTATATTCAAATCTATTTAGATTATGTCTTAAAAAAAAAAAAAAAACTGACACCCATATAATTCAATATACAGGTCAACAGACAAATAACTTACTATATACATTTTATCTTTTTGAATAAAGTAAACAGCAACCTTAATATGATACTTTATTATAACCTTAAATACTTTAGTATAACCTCAAATACAAAATATGGTGACTTACCATCTCAGTGTCAGTTCGGGGAAGGATCCTATCTCGTTCCAACTGGAGAGCGTGAGCCCGTAAGAGAGAGGTTATGACATAATCCCTGCCAAGGATGTCACTAACTGTTCTGGCATGATTCTTGTAGTAATCCTCTTGTGCTGTTGGGATATATTCTTTAGACTGAATCTATGAACCAAGAAACGTATCAAGCACACACACACACACCAGACTGTAGAGTTTGCGCAAGGAACACGTTCCCCGCACAAAAATTATTTGGTCAAATTCTGTCTGCACAAATGTAGTTCTCGGGTAACTTTCTGTGCATACTTAGTTCTTCCACATATTCCACACATAAAATGTGTGTGTGTGTGTGTGTGTGTGTGTGTGTGTGTGTATGTGTGTGTGTGTGTGTGTGTGTGTGTGTGTGTGTGTGTGTGTGTGTGTGTGTGTGTGTGTGTGTGTGTGTGTGTGTGTGTGTGTGTGTGTGTGTGTGTGTGTGTGTGTGTGTGTGTGTGGTGTGTGTGTGTGTGCGTGTGCGTGTGTGTGTGTTGTGTGTGTGTGTGTGCGTGTGCGTGTGCGTGTGTGTGTGCGTGTGTGTGTGTGTGTATGTGCTTGTGTGTATGTGTGTGCTTGTGTGCTTGTGTGCATGTGTGTGCTTGTGTGTGTGTGTGTGTGGTGTGTGTGTGTGTGTGCGTGTGTGTGTGTGTGTGTGTGTGTGTGCGTGTGTGTGTGTGTGTGTGTGTGTGTGTGTGTGTGTGTGTGCGTGTGTGTGTGTGTGTGTGTGGTGTGTGTGTGTGTGTGTGTGTGTGTGCGAGTGTGTGTGTGTATATGAGTTTGTGTAAGTACTTGTGTGTGTGCTAGTGCATGTGCATATGTATGTATGTATGTATGTATGTATGTATGTATGTATGTATGTATGTATGTATGTATGTATGTATGCATGTATGTATGTATGTATGTATGTATGTATGTATGCATGTACATGTACATTACCCATATACCAATACATTCATGTAGGTATGCACTAATGCATGTATATATATATACATGCATGAATTCCAATTTTTAAAGCACAAAATCTACTTAAATACTCACCAGGAGACAATTTTGAAGCATTACGCACTGGAGTATACACCTTTGATGCAAACTGTCGAGTATGGTGAGTCCCATACTTAGTGACAGAGGCTTTGGTGGCATATTTGCATGCAACGTGACGGCAATGGGGAGGAATCCAAGGCTGCCTTAGTGACTCTGCAAGCCTTCTCTTGGCTTCCATCTTAATGAGTGTCAATTTGTCTGAAAAAAATCATGAACAAATATACTGAAAAGCATGGTAAACATAGTATAATACTTTGAGTATTTAGTTTTGTATGTATGCAAATAATCATATCCTTAGTGGCAAATGGGATAATATTTGATTTACATTACCATAAAAACAAATAAGTATTTTTAAATATATTCACTCACTCAGAGGTTCATCAGAAACAGTAGCAGTATCTTTGGGCAACTTCTCCAACAGAAACATGAAAATCTTCCGAAGATCGGTTTCATTAGGGTATAAGAGAGACTGATAACCAACGTCTCCTGGATAACCCACATCCTGTGAGAGAAAATAGTATCAAAACAAAGTACAAACAACTAGAATACAAATAACAACTAGAACAAGGGATCAAATATCAGAAGACCCAATCACCTGATTAAGTAAGTAAGTAATAATGACAAGAAAATAAATGTGCTATCACCTGATTAAAGAAAAACAAATACTTTCCCACTATCCTCTCACCTTAATTGCTTGTGCAATTGATGCTGCAGCTCTGAAGCGTTGAGCCATATTTTGAGGGAGGGATGTTGGTAGCTCATAATCGCTGTTTATTGCTCTTATACATTTGACAACTCCTGTAACAACCTCAGGAATCCCAAAGCCTCCAACGCTCTTGACTTCTTCATCTATATCACTGGAGAAATACAGAGATTGTCACATAAAATTTCAATATCTTATATAATGAGGTAGTATATATTCATTGGCTGAAGGTCAGATAGCTTAATCAAAGCTGAAAATGCTTACTGGACTAAAGTATTTGTATTACTAGGTTTCCCTCTCTCTCTTTCTGTGTGTGTTTGTCTCTTATTCTCTCTCATAGACAATACTTTTAAACTTTGATTTTTACAAATGAATCAGTGTTATAATCAGGCTATATCTGCATATTTTATGAATATGTGGAAAAAAATTATAAACAAACATGATTCAAAGAATCACCATTTGTGCTATGGACGACTATTTCTCAAAGTGAAATATGAGACCCATTGCAGTTATTAGTGGATTCATCAGTCTTAACCCAATCACAAAAGGGGGTGCAATGCTATATTCAAACAACACTTCAGAGTCCATGTGAAGTCAGCCCTCATAGGAAAAATCGGAAGCACAGGAAGCCTAATATTATCACACACTATATGCTCTTGGCTGTGGCACAACTGTTTAGGTAATGAAGCTAAAGAGAGGCTTTATGTCTACTTTTGAAGGGCTGTTTCTCTTCAATGGCCACAGCCAGAGCCAAACAAGCACACAACTTAGAGCAGGCTCAACTCGGCATGACATGAAAACATCATCCTGGTGTGAGGGGTGATTCATCATAAAACGTCATCCTGGTGTGAGAGGTGATTCGTCATAAAACATCATCCTGGTATGAGTGAGTTAATCTTCATTATTAATTTTCTTAAATGTATGTAATACTTAGATTATTAAATTTTTCTAATCTTTAATTTCAATCTAATAATAATTTGCTTTCTCAATTTGTGAATTCTTCTTCTCAGTTCATTATGCATATTTTACTTCCCATATAAAAGTGCAACTAATATAACTTAAAATCTCAAGTTTTAGCAATTATCCAGAGTAGGACCACATGAAGTTAAAGGAAAACAAAGTCAAACATGAAAATTATCCTGCCTAAGTAAAAGTAAGCCTACAATCACTTATCAGTCTACCACCATATACTCCTATGCAATGACACAGCCTGAGAGCTTCACTTTTGGGGAACAGTCAACATAACTCTACCAAATGTACTCTTGCTGGACAGAGCATGCAGACTTCCCTGGCAGTTTCTTTTTTAGCAGAATCAACAAAGGCATGGTGGCCTGATCAACTTTTGAATGAGCCTCCTTTTATATCATTTTATATTCTATTTGTTAATTTTGATTCATCATGATATTGTTGACATCATGACAGAAAGAACTGCATTTGGTAAATAGTCAGAATACCTTCACATAACCAGTCTCAATGAGTTTGGTATTGATGGATTCCTCTCACTCTCTACTATCCAAATATATCAAAATTATGCCACCAAAACCCACCCATTACCCACAATTGTGGCCCCAATAGCATGAAAGGTACCAGGCAAATTGCTGGGTAAAATATGAATAGAATATAGTAAATATGTAACAGTAGTAATAATTTTTAATTAATAAGTCACTGCATTGTGTAATGCAGGGGACAGTACCACTGCTGAGGTGCTGCCCCCCCCCCAACCACCATCTTGAAAGACAGACTCCATCCGTGTATGCAGAGCATGATGGAGCACGACAGAATCACACGGTTCCATCACCCTCAAAGCTGCCCACCTCACAGCTCAGTAGCATCAATGAATCACGTAATTAACTCATAATTCCTAGCCTATTTCTTGGCAAGTTCGCCCCACATGCAGGTCATACCCTCTACCCTTCCATGAATATTTCAAGGAGCTTTTGTCATCTAGGGTAGAGGTTATAGGCTGGTATCCCCCCAGAGGAGTGAAAGGGGATACAGCACCCTGTATTCGACAGTATAGTGAACAGCTACCCAATTTGTGTTTTCATATCATTGTTATTTTACCCTGCAATTTCCTTGGTACCTCTCATGCCATCCTCTGCCATATGTGTGTACTAGAGGGTGAAAGGAATCCATGCATACCAAAATCTTCATGATCAGTTATGCAAAGATATTCTAAACAATTATCCTGCATTTGCTAAAATACCATACTATCATATGCATATAATACAGGTAATTTTTCACATTACCTTAGCATATATGATTGTGACAATTTTGGTATCGATGGATTCCTCCCACCTTCTAGTACATATATATGTAGGTATTATGCCATAGAACCCCCCAAACCCCCACATTCACAGCCCCGATAGCAGGGAAGGGCACGAAAGATACGAGGGAAATTACCCCCCCATCGGAACCAAGATTGTTGCTAAAAGGGGGGTTTCCTCGGCATAATTTCGATATATTTGGATAGTAAAGAGCGCGAGGAATCCATCTATACTGAAATCGTAGTAATCGGTTATGAGAAGGTACTCTGTAAAATTACCATAAAATGCATTGTCATAAAACCAAAATCTTAAAATCAACCTTTTATTCTTTTAAATAATAACTAAAATAAATCAAAACTATTTCCGATCTCTCAGCACCCAGATCATTCCAGACAGTAGTTTAAAATTACTAAAAGACCTGCCAATTAATTAATAAAAATCGAAATAAACAAATTCTAAATTACGAGAATATGTCCATTTGTTTCAATAATCACATATATTCAACATTAACCACAAAACACAGTCATATTTACCATCCCAGCTGATTCAACGTGAGAATCAGAATCTTATCCACTTCCTCCATCTCTTAATCGTCTTTTGTATTTCTTCTTATTCTTGTATTTATTTCTTGTGTTTCTGTCACTTGGAGAAACACCCACTCCCGGCCGTGAATCCGGAATCCGGGGCGTTCGGCTAAGGTGTGACGTCATCCGCGGATTGGGATTTATAAAAACGATGGATGGTATGATGAGATTGTTGTTGTAGTTGTTTGTTGTGGGGCGGGTTGTGTTTTATAAGTTGTTGGTTAAGTTGATATCTTTACCTGTTGTTTGGAATATGGTGTAAATCATTCTCTCTCTCTGTCTCTCTCTCTCTCTCTCTCTCTCTCTCTCTCTCTCTCTCTCTCTCTCTCTCTTCTCTCTCTCTCTCTCTCTCTCTTCTCTCTCTCTCTCTCTCTCTCTCATCTCTCTCTCTCTCTCTCGTCTCGTCTC